ATATATGTACATACCTATTTAGTTATTTATTTATTTATACTCATACGTACTGCAGTGGACTGCAGAAATGTTTCGAGGCATCATAAAAAAAGTAAAACCTTTTTATTCGTCCACACTACTAGCTTAACTCCTCTCTTACTTTAAATTACACTTTTTACGTCGAAGAGGGGGATCATAAAGTTGAAAATAGACTTCTGAAATATGATTCAGACATGTAGGACTAGTGTAAATCAGGGTAAAACAATCAGCGACCTGTAACAGAAACAAATCTCAGGCACAACATGTAATTTAACAAGCAAATGAATAACGGAAAATTCAAAAATGATTCAACCAAAACTGTTGAATATTGCCAAGAGAATTCAAATTTTTTTTAAACTTATATATATAATCAAACAGTGGCACACTAAGTAGTGGTTTCAAGGTTTTCTTGATAATATAGTGCTATAGCTCTCCGAAGCAGAAGAGCTACTGTCTGTTATCCTGTAACGATATTCTCAAAAGTGTTAGAACATCTGCTTCAACAGTGGGGTTTTCCAAGACCACTCACTATGGGCAACCGAGAAGAGACCGTAAGCTTTCAAAAGAAAAAAAATGCATTAGCACTGTATCAGTACCATAAATAAATGCAAATAAAAACTTCTTTTGAAGAAGCTTCTAATAAAACTTGTGAATTAAATTATATGACTTTTTTTCATAGATGAACAGAATAGTTTTTAACATTTTGTCAACCAGTAACATGGCTTCTATTGATTCATGATATAACATCACAGAAGAATGCTTACCAAATTTTAATATAATGAGGAAACTGTTTACATTATCTCGCAGCGTATGTTACTTTAGTTCCCCTCGTCTTCCTCTTCGTTTGCTTCACCCCCCTCTCCTTTCCTCTTTTTCTGCGTCTTCTTCTCTCGACAGTTATTACCTCTGACCATAAAAAAAAGATAATTATTCAACAGCACACATATACATATCGCTGGTGGTTTCTTCATTATTGCGCGCAACTCCCCTCCTCAGTCCCTCTCTTCCTCTCTCTCATCCATTCGTTCATTAATTCTTTCTTTTTTTTTCTGCTCTCTTATCAAAAAAAAGTATATGTATGTATCGTTGTAGTAGATTTCTTTGAAAAAAAGAAGAAAAACATAAATAGAAAAAAAAAATAAAGATAGAAGTAACAAAGGAGAGAAAAGAAAAAAACCATCAGAGAAAATAAAAATAATCAGGAGAATTGGAATAAAAAGTGATCATCATAGAAGACAGGACTGTATGCAGTCAACAAGCATAACGCATGACTTTCAAGGATTAGGGGTTACAACTAGCATATCAGAAAATGGAAAAAGACAGTTGCACACCGGAAGCTCTTTGACTCGATTTGGCTAAACTGGAATTCTGAAAACTTAAAAGATTTTACTTGGTTCTCTACGGCATTTATATATACACATGTGTATATATGATGGTAATAATATTTATAATAACAATCATAACAATAATAATGACAATAATAGTAATAATTATTTAAGCGAACAAGGCTTAGTACGTACGTCTGCTATATACCACTGTGTCTCTGTCTACTTCTGTCTCTCTGTCTCCTCGTCTCTCCACAGACCTATATGTTGCGCTACCAACTGTCCGCCTGTTGGCGTCTGTGTGTATGTGTGTGTTTGTGTGTGTGTGCTGTGCAGTTGCTGCCAAAAAGCGCCTTAAAATCGCGGCTTTTTCTTTTAACTGAGTATCAATACAGCAGCAGTAGAACCTGTCTGTTTACGCAGCCATGTGTCTACTAAAATTCAAGTCAACAGTTTTCCGCCTTTTTTTCCCAGGTTTTGTTGTTGTTGTTTTTTCCTGTTCTATTTTGCTGCTTGAAACTTGGTTAGTCAGCATTTATTTTTTTTTTTTCATTGCTTTTTTATTTCTTGGTGTTTTTTTTTTTTTTGTTCACTGTTTCCACGTTTTTCAAGCTTCTTGTCACTTACTCACACACATATACATTTGATGTTTTAAGAAATGAAATCTGTTGAAAAAATCGCAGTGATTTACTGGCGGTCGAAGTAGTAAAGTTTGGCATTTTGGTACAGGTGAGAGGGAAGTGGGGGTCATTTATTTGCTATGATTGTTAGGCGACAATGTTGATTGTAAAATGGGTAATGGGAAGGAAGGGCGGTTGAGGGGAGGGGAGAAGAGGACGGTTCGTTATGACTTTTAGATACAGTTTTTTTTTTTTTTTTTTTTTTTTACTTTGTTTTTTTTTT